CTTACTTCAACACAGGATAGAGAGAGCTAATCTCTGAAATCTCTGGAGTTTTCTTATATTTATCATATATGCAACTTTTTTCTCACTAACTCATATTGAAAGCTTTCAAGCATACCACAGTCACTCCACTGGCATTTCGTGGGGGTAATCTTAAGCTTGAATTGAATAGCTAAGGAAGTAACTATGTTTTTAGACTGTTGTATGTTCCTGGAAGAGTATGGGTCAATTTGCTGTGAGCTTTTTGTAGTCACTTGTGTGAGTACGGTGCCTCTCCAACTCAGAACTTCCCAGATTTTTTTGTACTGTTCACTTTAGGTCAGAAACTTCTGTAGATAATGAGAGAAAAAAGAGGCATATCTTCTAGCAGGAAAGTATTACAATCATAGCAATACTTCACGTAGTTGAAGAACTGTAGGGCCAAGATATTTAAATATCTCAGCGCTTTATTCCATACAGTTTTGCAGAGTGATTGAGGTCTGAAGGAGCCTCTGGAGATCCTCTAGTCCAAATTGTATGTTTTTACTACAGTCTGTAAATAAATAAATAGATAAACGGAGTGGAAAGCTTCTGGAGAGTTCCGTTTTGTTTTTGAATGACAACTAAAATTTTATGTCATTCCTGACTGTAAGCTGTTTGATGCCATTTACCTTATTTTGTTAGACTTGGGTAGTTTTAAAAAATTATTTCTGTGTTCCATGTGTATCTGTAATTATGGAAACCATGAAGTGACTCAGAGGAGTATGGTTGATGCTTCTGTGGCTTGTCAAGACAGCCAAATGTTCAAATAGTTAGACAAAACTTTTTGTTGTTTTTAAGGTTAGAAAAATATACAAAAATGATCTATGAGGTAATGATTTCTAGGGTAGCTTAATGGTCTATGAAAAATGGAGATTGATGCTGTTAGAGAAAATGTGACTAGCAATTCATGACTACAACATTATCAGAAATATAGTAAGAAATTGATGGAAACGCAGGCAAGAGAAATACAGTTGAAACAGATGTTGATTTATAGGGTCACAGAGAGACCAAAGCAGAGGTTTCTGAGGCTGAGGTTGTTGCTGGGACTTAGAATTCTTCCACTGCTGAGGAAATAAAAATATTGAGGGTGAAACTGGGTGTTGTGGACAAGATGAGTGAAGAAGGAGTGAGCCTAACAACATGGAAAATGGGTCTCAGATGGGGTAAACTTAAATATAGGGCATGTGGAGAAATCAGACCATTAGGATGTTTGGGATTTCTGGGTTTCAAAACAAGTGATCTTAGCTGCCTCATGGTGACCTGTGAATAGATAAAACCTGTACTGATTGATAAACTTTTCTTAAGGGTTTGCTTTTTTTCCAAAAAATAAATTCTCAAGCCCTGACAAGCCAGCCCAAAAACAAGCTTCCCGAGTCTCTGATTTTTAACCAGCCAGGATGAAATTTCTTTAATTTCTAACCCTTCCTTTCTCCTGGTACAGTAGTCTCTTCTGTCTCCCTCCAAATTGTAGGTTTGTAGATTTTGATCATTTTAGTTAGAAGTAGATCTAAACCTAGAGCTGCAAGGAAGTTTAGATGCAAGGTTTCACAGTTTGTCTGAGCTATAGTTCTGCTTTAGAAGGTCACAACTGTAACTGTGACAATACAATTTTTGTAGTGTGTTTTTAGTGGTGTGTATTAATTTATTTGTTTGTGTAATATATTTAGGAAAAAAAAAAAAACCAACTTGTAGGGGGCAAATATTTCAAATCACTGTAGGTAAATATGCAGGTGTGAATTTTTAGACAGAAATCATGACCTCTCTACTAGTGATGTTGGTTTCTTGCTTGAACTACAAAGGCATTCTTAGAGAATTATGTTGCTACAGTGACTGGAACCCGGTTGTGTGCTTGTTTAGAGAGATTTCAAATGGTAACTTTATAGCTACCTGAATATATAACTTCCAACACTGGTTGCTGCAAGTTTATTCTATAGAATGCTTATTTTTTGTGGAAGTTGTCGGGAGCTTTCTGAAAGGTTAGCAGCTGTAGCTGAGAGATTTTGGCAGCAGGGCATATAAAGATAGTCAGGTTTTGTTTATTTTATTTTTATCTTAAAATTACTAGTAACATTGTTGCTAGCAGAATGTCAACAAAAGTTCCATAAAATACCCTTTTGATGTTAACTCCTTGAATCATTGTTCCATTACACCTTTTCTGCGTCTTTGTATTGGCAGTTTGTAATTGTGGGTTTAGACACTTAGGCAAGGAACACTGTTAGGATCAACGTGTGAGCTGCGTGTTCAGTTGCCTAAAAGTAGGCACCTGATGCTATTTTGGATGCCCTACAACACGTAAGACGTACACATGGGTGGCAGACGTCACGTAACTCTTGTGGTAGGCTTATGCCCTCTTAAGTGGCGTGTGGCAGTGAGGTGAGCTGTGCTGACGTATCTCTAATGGCACATGCCTACAGTTAGGCACAGGATTTATTTTTTTTTTGTTGTGTCTACTTGAAAGTGAGTGGATTCTCTTTGGATAGAAACTTAAATACCTGCCGTGCCTAATAGTAATTTCCGTGTAGACAGAAGAAAATTAAGCACCTTGCTCTCATCCTTATTTGTCCACACAGGATCTGACTTTGAAAGTCAACATCTTAGTTAAATAAGAAAGGCAAGCAGGAAAAGAGTATGAAGTGCACTCTCTAGTGCAAGTGGAAAATCCTGATAAGGCTGGCTTTTAAACCTCCCTTGTGGATGCTCTCAGTCAAACCCGTCAGTGGCACTGAAGACCTTAAAGTGACATGTAGTTCTGTGAGCAGTGGAGCTTCATTCCTTATGAACATCTCTTGTGGGTGAATTGCTATGTAGACTCTGTGATACAAATGAAAGATAGTACTAATGAAATGTTTATAGGGCTTTTACGGAACTGCTTATTTCATGAGACTTTTAAGAATATAATTCCTTGAAAACTTCCATGCTTACGCAAAACTTTATTGTGTTTGTCCAGTGGGTTAAAACTTTTTTGGAGGGTGTGGGGAGAAAAGGGGGAAGAAACCAATCAGCTGTCAGCATAAACCTCATTTTCTTGCCATATTGGGATATCAAAGTATCAAGCTGAAAACCTGAGATATGAAGGAAATCTGCTCTGCACAGGAATTAAAGAACAGAGAGTGCTAAAATGGCTTTATATCACAGTCCTGAAATGGGTGAGCCCAGCATGTCTGATGAGCATCAGTATGGGCAGGGTGGTCCTCTCCCTGCTTAAGAAGGGAGAAGGGTAGAGAATTGTACTGTCCTTTTGAATCCTTCAGTCTAGAGGAAAGGCTTCAGAAACACCAGAACCTAGATGCCTAGGCTACTTCTTTACTAACAAATTAAACCTAATATGTGACTATTCCTAGGTGTTACAATATCTGTGCTAGTAAACTGACAGAAGGCTGCTTGGCATGCCTTTGGTCTTTGGCCTGCTAGCACTTCATCATCAGTTTTTCCTGATAGTTGGGGTGCTCTAAGGCTCACCTCCAGGAGGCAATTTCTATGCAGCCACCTTGCTTTGAAGTAGAGCAGAGATCCTAGCATAGGTACAGGTTATTTCATGTCCTTTGGCTTCAGTGCTGAAAAACGTTTCTGTGCAAGTTTAATGTGCTAGTATTGGTGTCATTGGAGATGGTGGGCCACTGCTGTAGAGAGAACATCTTCTCCCCATTTGCCTCTCTTCCTGGCCACATGATTTCACTACTATTCATTCCACTCCATGAGAAAAATAGATGTGACAAAGTAAGGAGGCAATTTTAAAAATGCAGGTGGCTCCTGGGAGAGCCTGACAGTCAAGGAAGATGATACAAGGGAGTATGTGGTATGGGGAAGCTGGAAACAAGGAAAAGAGAGGACGAACACTGATAGGGAGAAAGAAAAGCATGAGAGAAGGGAGGCGAGAAGAAGACGTTACCTTTTAGTGACCAGGAGACATCGGATGAACTCAGCTGTCTGTACAGTTTTGAAAAATATATTTAATGAAAACTTGAATTCACAAGCACATTTTCATTAGAGGGGTAGAGTTTTTAACTTATTTAAATTTTAGACTAATGTAAGGATTCAAGTAGATTTTCAGCTTCATTTATTTATATTTTAATGGAGTGAAGCCATCATGAGACTTTATCTAGGGTTTTATGCAGAATTCATTTTGATGGAGTCAACGAGATAAATGGAATGCAGTATACTAATTTCATGGCTTGCTGCATGTTTTCATGTTATCCCAGAAACATTGTGATACATACTCTTAACTTAATTCTGAAAATGAGTAGTTTTCTAAGAGCAAATTGGTAATGTTTCTTTCCCTCTGAAAATGTAAGAGGTGACTTGTAGGATGGTGGCAGAGCTCTGCTGAAGTTAATGGTGCTTCAGGCAGAGAAGAGGATCTGCCTGATTAGATCTGTCTGAAATAACCGGTGCCTTTGAGAAGCGCATAGAGGAAGGTGGCTACAGGAACATTAACAAAACGATAAACTGAAAAGCTTTTTGCACACCCTTCAGAAGGCAGATATTAAAGGTAGCATGAAGGGTCAGTGTGGGATAGCTTGTGGCCTGCTGTATTAGCACCCTTGTTACCTGCTTCGCTGTACAGAGGTGAAGCAGGTCGCCTGGGAGTCAGTGCAACTGTGGCTTTGCAATTTCTAAATTCATGAAGCGTGAAGGAGTGTGCTCCTTATAGAGCCTCCTCAGAATCTGGGCTTGGGTGAAGGATTTCAGGAACTTGCTCTCATCTCAGTCTGAGTTTTGCCTGGCATGTGTCACTTAAATTTGGTATAAAGTTTGTGTCCTCCCCTAATATGACTTTAGCTTCCCAGTGCATGTTTGGAAGTCTCCAAATGTGAATTTGAACACGGCCTTTTTTCTGCATTCTAAAATGCAATTTTGAAATACATAATTATGAAGAAGTTGTTCTTATTTTTGTAACTGAAAATGCTCTTCTTCTCTGTGTGTATAGTTGTTTATATTATTTACTGTGGGCTCTTTCAAGTTGGAATTTCATGTTGTGTTAGTACAGGAATACTGTTCCTTCTCATTGTGGATCACATTCAACAGTGCCTGTAAGAGTAAGTTTGAGGAATACTTTTTTTCTGTGAATGAAATGCCCTGTATTCCATGTGAAGGCTAGCATGGGATCCTTCTAGCATGTTTTCACACAGCCTGTGAAGTTTCCACGTGAACCTGTGTGGGGACTGTTGACCCACCTCTGCTGAGTCCTGTATGTGCCATTTTGTTTTTGTTATGTAGCAGTAAAGCCCAGAAGCCTTTGCTATGCTGTGAAAATGCACATTTTTGCAGAGCCATTGATATGAACCCCTTGAATGAGGAGCAGCCTTTACTGGTTCTCTTTAAGAGCTTCATGCGTGGACGCACATTGACCTGGGCAAAGATGCAGTAAACAGAAACAAACCCAACAATAAAAATCAGATTCCGGATGTTTTGAGTGACGTGCTGTAGCACTGCATCAGAGCTCACCATCCAGAAAAGAGTAAACGGGAACTATTTTTGAAGGGACAGGCCAGAGTAAAATTGTCTAACGCCCTTCATTTTACTGATGCATTGCATGGAGGTCCAGAAGCCACATTAGAGAACTGTAATCCTTCATCAGAGCATTTGTTTGGTTGCCTAACATCTGTGGATTGTTAAGATAAGTTATTACACAGACCTGCTTTAGTTTAGATTAGTTTGGACCACATCCCAGTATATTCAATCAGGATATAATTCCTGCATGCTGCGAAATTGCTTGCTCCACATACTTCTCTAAAAATGTTTTTCAATATACGGTTTTGTCACTGAAACTCTTCTGTCACCTTAACTTTGGGTGTTGTGTGGTTTGTTTTTTTTCCCCTCCTTTTTTTTCTTTTTTCTTCTTCTTAAAGAAAAGCTATTATTATTTATCCTTTTGGATTGAATATCTCTGAAATCGAATGTAGCATTTGTTAAGTTCAGAAGAGATTCCAAAACCAGGATGGTAGTGTAGCTTCTATGTGAGTATAATGCAGATTTCCTACATGTCATCTGTGGTGATTGGTATGTATTGTGTCCAGACTGCAGTGTTTAGGAACAGCTGTAAGAAAATGGGTTTGTATTTACATGTCTAGTATTTCTTCTTTCCGTATTTTGTATTTTCCTGTGTCTTATTTGTGCATTAGCTATTCCTGTTTGTTTGGATCTCCTAATATTTTGCATAAAATGAATTGCAAAGCATGGCTATGTAATTATGTAAATTAATGGTAATTTCTTGAAGTCTATTATGTACTTTATACATATTTTAAATGATCAAATATGCTAAATTGTAAATGAAGTCTGTGGCCATCTTTACACATTTAAATGTGCTTGCATACGTGAGCACATATGTAATTTAATTAGAATATTTAAATTTTAGTGTTCCTTATCTTTCCTTTAAAGAAATTCTATTTTTTTTATTAACACTTTTTTCAGCTTTCTCTGTAAATAGATAAAATAAAGGCAACGACACAGTTTTCATTAATGACTGTGGTTTCTAGCATTGACAGAGATTTTATACACAGTCCTGTGTGCATGCCCTCTTGCTGTCTAATGGGCTAACAGTTGTGTCAGAGCCTATGAAGACATTTAAAAATAGGAGATTTTTTTTTCCTTTTAGTTGTGCTAGTTTTTTAAATACCTGTAATAATAATACCAGATAGACTAAAAAAACCTATTCCACTAGAACAGATAGTGTGATAAACTGAATCTCAGTTTTGTGAAGTATAATAGATGAATGAAAGAAGACACTTGGAATCAAGGGGTTTTTTTTATTAAAGGACTAGTGTTGATTTTATCAAGTCTGCTGTTCCTCCTATCCTGCTGAGGGTTATCTGTTTTAATCATAGTACCTTTGTGCCAAGATTGGAATAACTGTAGCTTTTGATTAATTTTATTAATAATTACAATTTTAATAGGTATTTTATTTGCCTTCTTAAATAGAAGAAATATAACAGTCATCTTTTATAAAAGCACAGGCTAAATACAGGGAATAGAGTTGGGTGTCTTCTCAGTGTAATTTGATCAAACAGTGCAGAGAAGGTATTTGAAGTTCTGATATCGTCTTCAGACCTAAACAGATAGTCAAATCTAGGGTGTTTTAAATAAATCTTACTTATGTTAAATATGTGAAGTGCCTAAAATTTTCATCATGCCATGTAAGCCACTCATGCATTTCTTCCCCAAGACAGAGAATAAAGAGAGCTTGGTGCCAGAGCTTGGTCTTGTTGCAGCTTCTTCCCTGAAGTGACTGTTCTTTCTGTTCCTTTTCATTTTAAGTGTTGTGTAATTTTGCAACTGTTGCATCATTCCTGTCTTTACACAAAATACCTTAAGCATAGTTTTCATTCCAACTTTTATCATCCTTTTTACCCTCTTTACCATTTCACCCATTGTTTTAATTATTTCCATGTTAAACTAGAAGATTTTCTTTACTATTCCCTGTAACAGCTGTCAGACGTTAAAGCCTCTCATCCCTATTTTTATTTCTGACAAAATTTCTACCTCCTGTATATTCTTCATTCCTTTTGCCTTTTTTTGTTTTTCTACCTTGAAAGTATTTGTTTTTTTTTCATCTTAACTTTTTCTTAAATATTTACATAGAGTCCTGATTAACCTTTTATTTTTCTCTGGTGATTTACTCCTGCATATAAGACTGTCTTGCACTTTATGTAGACTTCAAACATAAAGTCTCACTTTACTGTGTGTGCTCCTGTTTGTCTGTGTATCTGGAATTCTAAAAAAAATAATTAAAAAATCCTAAGAAGCATCATTTATGTACGCAGCTTAATTGTGATTGCCAGGGACACGGTTTATTTATTTATTATTTACAGCTATAACTTAAAGAGATGGTAACTGATCATTTCCATGAAGTACAAAAATACATCACTTTTGCATTCTTTTCATTGGTGCATTTAGCTTTCTATTAGTAGGTTTCTTTAGGTCTTACCTTACATCTCTGGTAAGTAGTTGTTGTGGATGTAGCTAAAACCGTGCATAGTCAATGCTCAATTTATTTGCAGGATAATGTTGAGTTCTGTTATATGAGAAAAATTAATTAAAGGGAAATACCAGGTCAGGAGGTTGGGAGTGAGCTGGGCAGGACTCTGCCACTCGAGGTGCAAATCCTGTTCAGTCTGGTAGGCTTGTCCTGACAGCGATCCACAGCAACGAAAACACCCCAACCCACCCCCACAGCTGCATCAACACCAGCAAGAAGCATTGGCCTTGGCCACGCTGTGGGTGTTCATTCAGCAGAGCGCTAGGGCTGGTCTGAGGGGGGATTGCTACAGGTAGGACTGACGTATATTGCCAGCACATTTTGGAGTAGCTCAGACAGCATGCGCCTGTAGGATGCTTGGCTCCAGCCAGTGCAGTCAGTGCTTGGAGAAGCATGTTCTGGGTCTTGTCGTGAGCGCCCAGCGCACCAGTTTAGCGGAGAGCGAGAGGTCGTACCCGCTCCGTGCTCGCGAGCGTGCGTTTCAGGCTCGGGGGCTGGCTGCACTGACTCTTCTTGTTGTCTTCAACTAGGTTATGTGGGTATGCAATTTATGTCGAAAGCAACAAGAAATCCTAACGAAATCTGGAGCGTGGTTTTTTGGAAGTGGACCGCAGCCCTCACCCAGCCAGGACGGAACGCTGAGTGACACAGCGACTGGTGGCAGCTCAGATGCACCAAGAGAAAAGAAAGCCAGGCTGCAGGAGCGATCGCGATCGCAGACGCCCCTAAGCACAGCAGCTGCCTCTTCACAGGACAGCTCTTCTCCCAGCGCGCAGGCAGATCGGAGGAAAGGAGCAGAGGTGTCACAGCCAGCTATGGGCCCGGACCAAAAGCCAGTTTCATCAAGGTCTAGGAGTGAACCTCCAAGAGAGAGGTAATGCTTTCTGTCTTGACAGAGCCTTGCAAGTGTAAATGCTAGCTCAGTAATATTACACAGGGCTTTCAGATGGGCCTTGCATGTAAGAACAACAAAGAAATTGATTTCCTGACTGCAGAAGTCTTCTCTAGCAAATACGTTGTCTGATTCAATCTGTGAGACAGAAATGACAAAAAACAATATTTGTATTTTAGGAATATTTCCATGTACCTCACTGTATTTTGGTGTACACTTGTAATGTAGAATTATAGGTTACTTTTAAATTTGACAGGTATTTTAAGGGTATCAAACAAAGAGCAAGCCTTTAACTTGATGAAATAACGTACTAGAATTTACAACAACAATTCCCCCCCCAAAAAAAAACCAACAACCCCTTCCTCCCCAGGAAGAAAAACAAATCAAAGCCAAACCAAATACCTACCCTGTGGAGTTCTCTCAAACATCTTTACGTGTTAACTTTTTATCCACGATTGTATTATTTTTTTGTGGCAACCAATTGCACGGACCCAGTTCAGGCGTGAATAAGACTAAGAGGGGATAATGTGATGAAGCAGTTGCTGTTCTTTTGGCTGCTGCCTGTCAGATGGCAGAGCAGTCAAGGAGGGAACGTGTGGCAACTAAACAAGAGTCTGCTATAGAAGATTCACTCTTGGCCAGAACAACTGATGATTTTTTTTATCGTAGCTATGGGAATTTGAAAATGGATGAGGAACAGTGGCTAGTAACATTGTGTAGGTGAGGTTTAGCTGGACCAAAACTCAGGTTAGTTTTATTTATGTATGATGTAAACAAAGACATGGCGCCCAAGAACCAAGAACTCAGGAGGAACAGGAGATGGAGAAAAAGGAGACAGGAGCTTAACTTGGATCATATCCAAGTTTGCCTGTCCTAGCAGATGCATCTGTGAAAATACTATGACATGTCATCTGAAGATGTATCTGTTGTGGAAGGGAAGATTCAGTGCCACAAAACAAAGTCCTAATGACTTTGTCCTGGTGCAGATTCATCTACAATACAGTGTATAGCTAGGTTCAGCCTTCTTCAAAATTAGTGGATTCATATGTGAAATGATAAACAAAAGGGCAATGGAAATGATGAAATAGAAATCTCCAGTATAAGGGAATTTTATGATTCTTTGGCTTGCTTATTCTCCCAAAGCAGAAGATAAAAGAGGGAGACCATAACTTTCAGTCAGCTTCATTATTCATTGTTATGTACTTTGGCTGCATAGAGAAATAAATTATATATTTCATCCTCTTTTATTCTTCCTCAGAAGAAGGAATGCCATTAATTTATCTCAAGAAGTCAATTCGCTTTTCTTTATATGTTTATGAAATGAGCACTTCTTTTTAGAGTTCTAATAAGATAAAGCAAACTAGGTCAAATATTATTGTTTCTGGTTGTATTCTCTTTTGCATATTTAATACCCATATTAATTCTTTCTGTAATGTCATTGTGGGAGATACTCCATTTGGTGGTGTTTGAATTTATAGTGTTAGGGTGCTTTAAGTGAATTGTGTATATGTGGTTGCTCTGTAATGCTCATGGCTGCTGCCAGAAAAATGCAGAACGTACTCCAACACTGTGTCATGGTGCAGCACTTACTAGCTACCAAGATGTCTTTGAGTCCTCCTACTTACGTGGGTAAATGATTTTTATCTGGGTTTATCCATGTTAATGTTCTTTGTGGTTTTACTCGTTAATTGGTCCATCCATAGTTTGTATTTTTTAGACTCTGGAAGCTGCTTGCTATTGGAAGATAAAAGTACCACTGGCAGGATTAACAGATTTAATTCATGTTCATTTATCCAGTACCATTCTATATGTTTTGCTGTAGCTTATCCCGATTGATAGTCTGTTTACTGTAACAGTGTACGCAGCTGGGTTTTTTTTTGCATTCAGTTCTTCAAATTGTTGTATTCTTTTTCATTGTAGGAAGAAAACAACATTGGTTTCAGACCAGAATGGCAAAGGTTTAAAGAGTGAGCGTAAGCGTGTGCCAAAATCCTCACTTCAGAAAGAAGGACCATCAGATGACAGGGATCGTAAGGAACGGCATGAAGGTAGAAGGCTGGAAAAAGGCAAGTCTCAGGACTACCCAGACTTGCCAGAGAAACTTGAGGAAGGGAAAGTGCCTGATGATGAAACCCAAAGGAAGGAAGATGAATATCATACTCGTTACAGGAGTGACCCCAATCTGGCAAGATATCCTGTAAAACCACATCCTGAGGAGCAGCAGATGCGCATGCATGCGAAAGTTTCTAAAGCACGTCATGAGAGAAGACACAGTGATGTAGCTTTGCCACACACAGAAATGGAGGAGGCGGAGGTACCTGAGAATAAATTAGGAAAACGCTCACAAGTACAGGGAACTCAGGACAGAAAATCTCTTGTGGAAACTCAGAGGTCGTACTCTATAGACAGAACAGGTGATGTAAGAATTTCTGTTTCTAAACAATTAATTAATCATAGCCCACCAACTCCCAGGCATAGTCCAGTTCCTATAGAACACATAGAATACAAGAACCACGAGTCCTTTAGAAAACAGAGCCGCCTTGATCCTAGCTCTGCTATTCTCATGCGAAAAGCAAAGCGGGAGAAAATGGAGACCATGCTAAGGAATGATTCCCTTAGCTCTGACCAGTCGGAATCAGTGCGGCCATCCCCTCCAAAGCCTCATAGAGCAAAAAGAGGCGGAAAGAAAAGGCAGATGTCAGTTAGTAGCTCAGAGGAAGAAGGGGCATCAACACCAGAATATACTAGCTGTGAAGATGTGGAGATAGAAAGTGAAAGTGTCAGTGAAAAAGGTAAGGACCTTTATGTATATTATGCACATGGCCATGGTTTGGGGAAAAAAAAAAAAATCTGTATTTTTATCTCTTTTTGCCTCTTTTTTAGATGCATACCTTTGTTTTTCCCCTTACCTTTCTTTTTATTTTTCCCAGCTGAGAAGTGTTTTATACCTGTTTACATTGGGTTTGCAATGTTTCCTTTTGCACTCTTAGATAAGGTGGTTACAGGTAGCATTAGCTGATGAGTTTCTTTTTAGTTCTTTTCCCTCTTTCACCAAGGACTGACAGAATCTAAGGGTTGTAGTTTATTCTCTCAATGTTATCTGTACTCCTTTGGTAATTGCTTCATCCTTTTGTCTGCATGCAGAATGATTTTCTGTGAATGCATTGAAGTGGAAAGTGAGTTCTGTAACAATAGCAGGAGACCATTATAAAACATCAAAATCTTATTGACACCTCAGTCTTAAGATATGCCAGATTTTACTGTATTCAATAAAACACCAAGAATCTGCCAGAGCTGATTGTTAACAAGGACAGAATGTGGGGCAAAGGGAGTGTAGAATTGCCTAACTTATTGTAAGCTTGAAAGCAAATTAATCTAGACAAGTATGTTTAAAATCTGTTATTCTGGTTTGTCTTCATCTGTTGATGGTAACACTCAGCAGTAAGGAGTCAGTGTAGTACATTGTGTGCTTTTAAACAAAGCCTTTTCTCTGGCTGAAGAAGTTAATCAAATTCACGAATGGTGAACAGATAAAATAAGCATCAACAGAAAAGACTGGTAGAATCTAACAGCTGTCTTATAACCCTAACTTGGCTTTAAGTGACACTA